CAGCCCAAACCCCGGGGGCACCGGCAGCACAGTGCCAGCCCAAACCCATCACATTTGGGGAAACCACTCCTCCACCCCCCACTTCGCCCCTGACATCGGGGAACGGGGCTCCCAGCGGACTCCTCCAGCATCCCGGTGCTCCCCGGGGCCTTACCGGCCTGCGGCTCCCCGCCATTCCGTTCCTGGGCCTGCCCGGGCTCGGGCCGCTGGGCCTCCTCCTCTTCCTCCTTCACGGACCGGTTTCCTTCCACCGCCTCAGACGACGCCGGGGCCTCCGAGTCGTCCATCGCCTCCTGTTGCTGCTCCGGGAAGGTAGGCCTCCCCTCATCCCCGAGCTGGCCTGCGGGCCACCCGCTGTCGTCGCCTTCCTCATGACCCGGGCAGCCTGCCTCTGCTAAGGCCTCGGCTTCTCCTCCTCCTCCTCCCCCCTCCTCGTGATCTTCCTCGTCGTCCTCATCCTCGTCCTCCTCTTCGTCGGCTAATAATTCTTCATCCTCCTCGTCGTCGTCGACGTCGTCGCCGCCGCCGCCATCGGTGTAGGCCTGGCTAGGCCTCGGCTCGTCTCCGCCACCGCCGCCTCCTCTACCGCCTCCTCCCCCTTCCTCGGACAGGAGCTCGGCGTCCAGGGCCTCCTGCAACCGCTGGGCCAGCTCGACCTTGAGGCCGCGGGTGTCGAGGCCCCTTTCCTGCAGCTCTTGCCTCAGTTCGGCCACCTTCAGCTTCTTCACGTCCATCGTCGGTGGGGGCGGGGAAAATTTTAAACCACGCACACACAGAGAAAAAAACAACTAAAGTCGAGGGGGGAGGGGTAACTCTACTGTTTTCTTTTGAATTTTAACCGTTACCACCCCCTCCCTTCTTTCTCTCTCCCTCTCGTAACGGCCTAATTTTTTCAAAAAAAACAAAATGGCGACTCCTCTCTCCCGGCTCCGCGCCTTTTTTCCCCTCCTCCCTCACCGGCCCCCGAAGCGCGTTGTTACCTCATCTGCGATTGGTCCCTTCGCGCAGCCTCTCCGCCGGGTCCGCTCTGCGACTGGCCAATCGGGCGCGTCGGCTCATCCGCCCTCTTCGCTCGGCTTGACACTCGCACCCCGCCCCACAACGCGCCCCTCTACCCGTAATGCCCATCTTGATTGGTCCCATTCGCGCGGCGAGTGGGCGTGTCCCCACCATTCTCGCCAATGGGATTCGCCGACACATTTCTTTGCGCTCCCCTCCTCCTGACCAACATTATTGTCCCCGCCGCAAAGGTCCGTGGGAAATGTAGTCTTTTGGGGCGTTTCTCCTTTCTTCGCCCCCCCCTTTCTGCCACTACACTGGGAGAGGCCATTCAGCCCTTCACATTGGGATAGTCTGGCTTCGTTCTAGCACTTTTCAAAGACAGAAAATACTGGAAAACAAAGCAGGTATTGCAGCACCAGAGAGAGAGAGAGACGGAGTTAACGTTTCAAGTCTCATCAGAAGAGATGAAATTTTGACTCTGCTTTCCCTCCATACGTTACCAGACCTGCTGAGTTTCACCACAAATTTCTGTTTCAGATTTACAGCATCCGCAGTTTTTTGTTTTAGTCCAGCATTTTTTCACTCCACCACCATCATCCCTCCCTCCCCATCTCAACTCTTCAAAACTCCCAGATCATCTTCGCAGTCCCCACAAAGGGACCTTTTTCAAGTCACCAATCGCTCTTGCCATGTGGGAAAACATTGTGCACAGTAAGGTCTCACTGTCTAAAAGACTGGTAGAGGTGGTAACCCTCGGGACATTTAAGAACTATTTAGATGACCGCTTGAAACACCATAACATACAAGGCTACAGGCCAAGTGCTGGAATAATAGGAGTAGGATAGACAGATGTTTGATGACTGGCATAGACATGATGGGCTGAAGGACTTCTGTCCATGCTGTTAAAAACTCTCTGACTCTATGACAAACAGCAATGGGCTTTGCTTGGGATTTTTGGCGATGGAATGAAGGGGTACATTTTTAATGCAACAAGGATAACATCCCCTCCTCCATTCTTCTGTAAAATCTTCTAAAAGGTGGTTTTGCCTAACTTGTAATAGAACTGGTTGGATGCACGTGGAGTATAGTGTACAGTCCTGAGCAACACACTTGAGAGAGGATGTGAACATACCGGGGAGTGAAGAAAAAGCTTAAAGAATTGTTGGTTCCAGAGATGGGAACATCCATTAATGAAGACACATTGGAGAATTTAGGATTGTTTTCCTTGGAGAAGAGAAGGCTAAGAGGAGACTGGATAGAAACTTTCAAAATCATGGAGGGTCAGACAGAGTAGATAGGGAGAAATTGTTTCCTCTCTCAAATGGGTCATATTCCTGGAATTCCCTCCCTAAGGGCATTGTGGGTCAACCCACAGCTGGTGGACGACATCAGTTCAAGAAGGCAGCTCACCACCACCTTCTCAAGGGTAACAAGGGACAGGCAATTAATGCTGGCCATCCAGCGATGCCCACATCCCACAAATAAAATAAAATTAAAATTGATTGAAAATAAGGGGACTCAGATGTAAAGTAAAAGAAGGAGCTGTATTGTGAGTTTAAACAGTATCTGTGCAGCGCTGTCTCAAGAACTGGCATTAGGCACACTGTTTTATATTTTGGCCTCTTGCACTTAATTTGGAATCGCCACAATGCTAATAGCCTACCCTTCTCCCTTTCCACCTGTCTGTTCATTATGCATTTTCCAATTACTTTGGAATTAAGGCTCTTGCCTTCACACATTTGTATCAAGTCTGAGGCCTTAATGTTCTTCACGTGGGGTCATCAAACTTTCTTTCTTCCCCCCCATAATTTCTTCTCAGCTGCTTTCATTGATGTACCCCCATAACCCTGACAGATCTCCTCATTTGCTGATCCCTGATATTGTCCCTTCTCTGAATCCATCTCCACGTCACCATGGCATTAGAACCCAGTTGTTGTTCCTCCCATTTTGATGGTGTTTAGGTTTTATGAGCTGTCTATTGGCCCAACTCATAGACTCCTGGGAGTGTCCAAACTTTGCTGCTGAAATTTCTGTCATGGGTTTCAAACCCACCACCTTATGAATTAGAGGCTAGAAAGTTACCGACTGTGCTGCAGCTAATATCTCAACTCTGCACCCTACCATTGAATTAGATCAGGCAGATTTGTGTCTTAATGCCATCCTTGGTATGTCTTGGTACCTTAACCTTAATACCCTTGCTTAAGTTTATCAATCCCAGTTTTCATAGAATCCCAACCGTGCAGAAACAGGCCATTTGGCCCACACCGACCCTCCAAAGAGCATCCCACCCAGACCCACCCCGACCCGTATCCTTGCATTTCCTACGGCCAGTCTACCTAACCTGCACATCCCTGGACACCATGGGTAATTTAGCATGGCCAATCCACCCTTCCCTGCATATCTTTGGACTGTGGAAGGAAACCCATGCAGACGTGGGGTAAAACATGCATATTCCACACAGACAGTTGTCCAAGGCTGGAATCAAACCCAGGTCCCTGGTGCTTTAAGCTTGCAGTGCTGACCACTGAGCCACCATGCCACCCAAAGGGAAAGCATTTGGAAAGGGAGAGGATTCCAGATTACCACAATTTGTGCCTAATTTATTTTAATTTCCTTTAATGTGACATGATTTAAATTTTGCGACAAAAGTGTGAGATGATTAATTTTGCTCAGAAGAACATGCGGGGATAACAAAAAATAAGGAATACAATTCTAAAGGGTTGCAGGATCAGAGGGACCTGGGGTATAAATGAATAAGTCATTAAAAGTGCCAGAATAGATGATGAGAGCAGTTAAGAAAGCATACAGGAGTAGCTAGATTTTATTAATAGGGGCACAGAATAAAAGAGCAAGGAGCTTATGTTGGACGTGTATAAAACACTAGTACAGTTTCAAATGGAGTATTATTGAGACAACACAGATGCGACAGATCTAATGGCCTCCTCATATACTGTAACCAAGCTGCGATCTTCTTTTCATTGATTGGAATGAGTGTTGCTACCAAGGCCCAACATTTATTGCCCATCTCTAATTACTCCCTGGAGAAGGTGATGGTGAGCTGCTTTCTTGAACTGCTGTAGTCCGTGTGGTGTTGGTAGATCTACAGCACTTTTAGAGAGAGAGGATTTATTCCCAGCATCACTGAAGGAGTACTGATGTCTGTCCAAGTCAGGAGGGTGTTTGGTTTGGAGGAGGCGGGCAGTTGCACATCTCAAAGCAGGAAGGGAAATCATAGAGTCATAGAGCTGTACAGCATGAAAATAGACCCTTCGGTTCAACTCATTGATGCCAATCAGATATCCTAAATTAATCTAGTCCCATTTGCCAGCATTTGGCCCATATCCCTCCAAATCCTTCCTATTCGTGTACCCATCCAGATGCCTTTTAAATGTTGTAATTGTACCAGCCTCCACCACTTCCTCTGGCAGCTCATTCCATACACGCACCACCCTCTGTGTGAAAAATTTGCCTCTTTGGTCACTTTTAAATCTTTTCCCTCTCTCCTTAAACCTATGTCCTCTAGCTCTGGACTCCCCCACCCTGGGGAAAAGACCTTGACTATTCAATCTATCCATGCCCCTCACGATTTCAAAAATCTCTATAAGGTTACCCCTCAGCCTCCGAAGCTCCACGGAAAATAGCCCCAGCCTATTCAGCCTCTCCCTATAGCTCAAACCCTCCAACCCTGGCAACATCTTGTAAATCTTTTCTAAACTCTTTCAAGTTTCACAACACCCTTCCTATAGCAGGGAGACCAGAATTGCGCACAGTTTTCCAAAAGTGGCCTGACCAATGTCCTGTTCGGCTGCAACATGACCTCCCAACTCCTATACTCAGTGTACTGTTGAATGAAGGCAAGTGTACTAAATGCCTTCTTCATTACCCTGCTTACCTGCAGCTGCACTGTCAAGGAACTATGAACCTGCACTCCAAGTTCTCTTTGATCGGCAACACTCCCCAAAACCTCACCATTAAGTGTCAGTTCTCATCTTCTGTGAAATGTTTGCATTAGATTTCAAGGACACGTAGACAATGTACGGACAAGTGCCAGGTGAGAGTTAACTGAGAGAATCGTGGAGTGATTCATTTTGGTAGCAAGATTGTGAAGAGATAATGGAGTATAAAGGCTGCAACTCTACAGGGGGTGGAGGAGCTGAGTGATCTAGAAGTGTCAGGACAGCTGAACAGAGCCTGTAATTATAAAACACACAGTGTGCTTGGCTTTGTTAATAATACACCTTAGAGTAACAGAGGAATGTGTAATGTAGAATTGTGTCCGATTCTGGGGAAGGATGTGAAGACATTTTTGTTCTAGGGCTGTGGAATTTCAGTCGTGAACACGGATTGGAGAATTTGAGACTGTTTTCCACAAGGTGGAGCAATTGGGATAAGTTCTGGTAGGGGTCTTCAAAATCGTGAGGAGCCAGGACGGAGTAAATGAGAAGAAACTGTTCCCATTTGTGAAAAGGTTGAGAAGGAGAGGTCACAGGTCTAAATTAATTTCCCAACCGTGCGAAAGAGATACAAGAAGAAATTTCATGCAGCAAATGGTTAGAGTCTAGAATGTGCTGAATGAGGGGCATGGTGGATTCAGATTGATCTGAGGCCTTAGAAGGGAGTTAAATGGTTATTTGAAGAAGAATAATGTGCAGTGTTACAGAGAGTAAGGAGGGGCAGGGCTTTCATTGAAATACTCACTCAGAGAGCTAGTGCAGACACAATGGGCCAAATAGCTTCCTTCTGTCCTGCAGGGCTCTGTGATGACTCCCCCAAGTGGCATCTTGGCAAACTGCCTTCTGAAAATCTATTTTACTGTGTTAAATCCTGAGTGTTTTCTCTAATACTCGTACTGATGATAAATAAGTCAAACCAAATATGATGGAAACTCATATGACGGAAAGGTAAGAAAGCCTTTACCTTTCTGAACCTTCTCTCTTTTTACTCTTCTAAAGACTCTAG